CAAATAAAATAGGTCCCCATTCTTGACTTTAAAATTCAAACAACCCAAGTCTCATGTACTAAGGGCCTAGCATAGACATGCACTGTACTTTGTGATATAATCTTCCTGCACTCAGGGAGCGACGGATTAAGATAAGCAAGCAAAAATCCAAATTAGATTGTAAGGCAAGATAATTTAGTGGAAAGTACAATGCACCTACATATCTATCTATGGGATTATCTCTGCATATGTCTAGTTGCAGTTGCCCAGAATGGAAAGTTTCTGATGGGAGAACTCAGGACAAGCTGTTAGGATGAAGTTATATTCATGATCTGCCTTAAAAGTCAACTGAGTTTCATCAGCCATTTCTATGTGATGGTAAGCACACATTTGAGAGAGTCATTCTCTACTCCTTATTAAGATATGGGTGATTTTGTTTCTGTGGCTGAAATAGATCTGTAAGAACAGACTATTTCAATAGAATATTGGGTTATAAACTACTGGCATGTCTGGAATTATTACAATACATCTTTATTACCTTTTTATTACCTGTGACAAAACTCATTGAATAGTACATCTAAGATTTGCATATTGTATTGAATATTAATTTTAACTGAAAAAATAAGAAGTATGGAACCTGTTGAAGTATTTGGGAGGAGGAGAAGGTATACAAATGTCTGAAACTTTGAAATGCATAGAAAATAAGATGTATGGCTAAAGAGATAGATGTATATATAAAGTAAGTATGCTAAAATGTTAGTGGAAGCATCTAGATGATGAGCATATTACCCATAAAGTTGTTATTTCAACTTTTCTCTTTATAATTTTCATAAAATGTAGCAACTGAGGTACCTTTAAATATTTTGCACATGGTATTCCAATAGCTTGGTCTAGCTAGGATCTAGAGAACAGTATTTTTATTTTAAGCCCTCACTGAATCACACATAAAGTCAGGTTCTGGAGCCACGATCCTAAGATGTATTTCAACTTTTAAAAGTTCTTAATTGTTTTTAAATTCATACTGAATTTTAATATTGCCAAATGTGATATACTGTTCACTTGGTATTTTCCCATAAACCCAAAATTCAATGCTAGGCCAGAATAAACCCTTCTTAGTTCTTTGTTCTTATACTCAATTAAATCTAATATGTATGATATTTATATTTTCATACATTAGCAGGCTTCCCTGAGTAACTGCTTTTCTACAGGATGCATCCTCAAAATATTTCCTGAAAGGTCAGGAGTTCGAGACCAGACTGGCTAACATGATAAAACCCCATCTCTACTAAAAATACAAAAAATTACCTGGGGACAGTAGCATGCACCTGTAGAGGCTGAGGCAGAAGGATCACTTGAACCTGGGAGGTGGAGTTTGCAGTGAGCCGAGATCTCACCACTGTACTCCATCCTTGGTGACAAAGTAAGGCTCTGTCTCAAAAAAAAAAAAAAAAAAAAAAAAGTCCTTTTTTTAAAAAAAAAATGTGAGAGAATGTAAAGATTCTATTGATTTTCATTAGAAACTAAACAAAAACCTTATTGAAAAGTTTATTTTCAATGTAGATCTCCTAAACAAAACTTGTGTTTCCTAGCAGTTCATTTTGGCAAGAGTTTTTAAAAATTGAATAAATTATTTTGGAGCAATATTTGACTTTCTCTAAGCCATGACACTCAAACTTAGGTACAGATTTAAGTAAAAATAATTCTAAAAAATCAATGTAGGAAAATAATAAAGCATTTCAGAAAAAAACAAACAAAATACAAGCTTTTAATTCTGATGGTGAAATGTGGAACAGAGTTGGAACAGGGAGACTTCCAGTGAGGTTGGGCTAATGTAAAGAGGGTTGGGACCTAGGTGAGCCCCTCTTGCTCCAGTCCTGGTTGGCAGCATTGACTAGAGTGGACATTCAGTGCTCCCCAGCTCTCTGCAGTGGGAGGGACTAAAGATGGAAAAGTCATTGTGGTAGGGCTGCGCAGCTTCTGTGAACACTGAATACTTTGCTCTCAGGAACTCTCAGGGGTATCTGCAGTGAAATTAGGGATTTGTTAACATATGTGAAAGTTTAGTTTACTGCCAAGGGGTGAAATGGTTTTTTTAAAAATTGTTATTATTGTATTTCTGGTGCATAGATTGACTTTACTCCTCAATTATACGAAGCTACCACTATTGATCTATGTAAACCTATCTTTATAAAAAATTTTCTTATTCCAATTCATTTCTCAAACTTTTCCTATTCTTTTTGTTTTGTATCTGCTCTGCTCTTCCTATATATAACTCAAATATATTTATTAGAACAGCTGCATATACATATAGCTTTGAAAAAAATACATAGTGTGTTTTGTGTATATTAATTGATCACATTTTATCTTACATATAATTCTGTTATTTTTCATACTCAACCCCTTTAACTCTATATAATACCATAAACTTTAATCATCACAGAGTATTCTGTCCTAGACATTTTCCCTGGAGATGAACAATCTGGTTATTACCAAGTTATTGAAAACAGGTTCCTTTACGGACCCATATTAGACCCTCCCCATTATTTGAGTATTTCACTGGAATTTCATTGAATTTGTAGATTAGTTTGGAGATCATTGAAAGTTTTTCAATGTTAAGTTTCTCATCCATGAACTAGAGCTGTTAATTAATTTGATTTTCTTTTAATTCCCTTTACTGGAGTTTCTGGGTAATCTGTAGTTTATGGAATTTTCATAAATGTGTTCAATGTTATAAACTTCCAAGGAATGCTTTGACTACCCCCAGAGGAAAGATGATTTTTCTTTTAAGGCAAGAGCTATTTAATATGCATTTTAGTTTCTATATACATAGATTTTTATAGTTATATTTTAGTTATCAATTTACAATTACATAGCAGTGCAGAAAGAACAGAGTCTCCATAATGCTGAATCTTTGAGAATTATTATGTAAATGACTTTGTGAAGGTATGTGCTAGAAAATAATATGTATTTTCTCTGAAGTATAAGGAAATGATCTCTTGCTGAGATTGTATATGTGGGTAACTATTAAATATAATTTTCATCATGAAACTTTTCTATTGATATAAAGTTTTTGTTAATTTTTCTGCTTTCATCTCTATTTTGCCAGTGTAAAATTCTACTCTTGTTTTACATGAGCTTTTTATTTCCAGTACATCTTTTTTCATCCTCTGTTTTCAATCTTTCTATATTTCTTTGATTTAAATTTTTCTCCTATAGGCAATTTATTTCTGAATTTTTTAATCTAATGTGCAGGCCTTATTTATTGATGAGTTAAATTAATATAGATTTATCATCATTACTTTTATATTAGAACTTATTTCTCCTATCTTATATCATGTATCTTTTTTAATATCAATTTTTATTTCTTCCTACTAATTTTTTATTTGCTTGTGCTGAATGCTATTTTGCTGGTCTGACAACTATGTTGCATTTATACTCTATCTAATTACGCCTCTAATAATAGGACTCATGTTTACTTTCTCCTCTCAGTTTTTAAAACCTACTAAAATATTTGCCTTTCTCTCAGATTAGAGAATGCTTTGGTCTGTTTTCATCTCACTCTGGACTTTTTCTCTAATGTGGAATTTTAGTTTTGAACTTTTGCGGATATGCTACTTTACGCAACTTTTAGTCATTGTTTATTTACATAATCATAAATTTACTATTTTGATCTCAACCAGACATTCTATAAAGAAGTAAACTCAAAGGTTCATGCTACCTTTTGTGAGTGCAGTTCTTCTAAAAGTGCTTTACAGTGAGAAGTTTTTCTTTTTAAATAATATTATTCATAATTATGCAAATATCTATTCAATGATATACTTATTTCCCTTTTCCTTTAACTGGTAGTGTAACTGGGAATGTAATTGTAGGCTTAACATTCTTTTGTATTTATTGTCAGAAGTTTGCAGATATTATTCCATGACTTTTTCTATCTACTCTCTTTTGTTTTGTATGTGAAATGTCTATCGTTCCTAGATACAGAGTTTTCTACTTGTATTTGATATTTTTAAAACTCTACTAAACTATTTATATATGTGTTTGTGTGTGTGTTTTAACTTAACCTGTGGGCACTTATAAACTCTTTTAAATGGTGATCTTATAACTTTCTTTAATTCTGAAAAATTCTCTGCCATTATTTTACAAACATTTTAAGACATTTTTATAAGGAGTTTTGAAATTTTATTTCCCTTCTTCCACTTCTTCTGAAAGGTCTTTTAAATAGATATAACAATGGCTATTTCATTTCTGTTTATTTTTTTCTTTCTCATTCATTCCTTCTATCTCTTTCCCATGTGTTTAGAATAATATTTTTGCCATGATTTGTTACTCACTAGTGCATTCTCTAGCTGGAAAATTTATATTCTACATATTTATTTTATAATTTATATTATATTTATATTCTATACCTCAAGTGACTTCTTTATTTCAACAATTACATGTACTTTTCATATTTAGTAGTTCCAGTTGATTCTTCTGTTTAAAACATATAAACATACACCTTCTTCTTCTTTTTTTTTGCTTTATATTTTCAATATCCTATCTCATCTCTGTAAAAGTAATTGGTGATCCTCACCTGTCATCTGGCTTGTTTCCATCTGGGCTCCTGGTTTCTAACTGTGTCTCCTACAGCCTATGTATTAGTGAGGGTTCTACAGAGGGACAGAACTAATAGGATATGTGTATATATGAAACGGAGTTTATTAGGGAGAATTGGCTTACACGATCACAAGGCAAAGTCCCATAATAGGCCTTCTGCAAGCTGGGGAAGAAAGAAGCCAGTCCAAGTCCCAAAGCCGGGAAGCCAACAGTACAGCCTTCAGCCTGTGTGTGAAGGCCTGAGAGCCCCATCGAAACACTGATGTAAGTCCAAGAGTCCATAGGCCAAAGAACCTGGAGTCTGATGTCCAAGGGCAAGAAAAATTGAAGGAAGCATCAAATATGGGAGAAAGATGAAAGCCAGAAGACTCAGCAAGCCAACTTAGCCCACCTTGTTCCACCTGCTTTGTTCTAGCAGCCCAAAGATTGAGGGTGGATTTTCTTCTCTCAGTCCACTGACTCAAATGTCCATCTCCTCTGGCAACACCCTTACAGACACACCCAAACACAATACTTTACCAGCTATCTAGACATCCTTACATCCAATCAAGTTGACACCTAATATTAACAATCTCAGTAATACTATGCTTATTATATTAGTCTACCTAATTCATTAGTTCTGTTTTTTTCTGCTGTAGACTCTTCAGCTTATTTTTCTTTCATAATGATTGAATTTCATTGATGTTTCATTATACAAATATATCACACACACAGAGGCTCATATACCATTGGGAATTTTAGTTATCAGGTATTTTTATTTTTTATTCATTATCAGTTACCATCAGTTATAATTATCTTGGTCTGTGCTATTTATTTGAGGCCAGGCAAAAACCCAGGATTGTTACATATTCTTGCAGGTAACTGTAGGGAGCAGTTTGGAGGCACAGGTGTAGTTTATGATGTTGCAGTCCTGGCTGGTCACTTTATCCTGTTTGATTTATTCACTATTCCTACTCTGTGACCTATCTGGAGATATTTTCCTCCAGGAAATAGAGTTTATGAAATGGGATTTGTGTATCTGGGGCACCAACAGCCCGCATTTTATATATGTATTATTATTATTTTTAATCTGAGCTACTCTTTAGCCATCTCCAAAATTTACTATTTTGTTTTCAGCTGATTCTTTGTTGTTTCTTGCCCTTCTACATGAACAGCATAGACACTTATTATCCCAAGGTCAATTAAGGAAGAGAAAAGGGCATGGCTAAAAAAACTTCTCCCACAAAGTCCCTGCTTATGATGTCTTGTTATTTTTGTTTCTGGGTTGATAATACCATCTACCTAGAGACCCAATCATCTTGTGTCTTTGTGAATGTTTCTGCTAGACTTTGCATTTAGTTCTGAAAAAATAAATAAACTCCCTTTTACCTTTTGTTTCATAACCAAAGTTGACTCAGAAATCTTGTTTGACATTCAGAGATTTTTAAGATTTTGGGAGCTTTTATGTTTGCATGCTTTCCATCATTTTTCCTGGCTTGTCATTTATTTTGTTGTTTATACAAATAGATACTGAAACCCAAGATTATATTAAATCAGGTTATAACAAGATTTTTAAAATAATTTGTATTTTAAAGGTCATTCAGGATTAAATTCTTTGCTGTCATGGCAGTAAGAATACCTACAAAATACAACATTTAACTCAGATGGTTAAAATGAAAATTGCTGATTAGAGGTATTGAAAACTTGCAGCTGAGATTTAAACAAATAAAGTATTGGTAGGCCTCCCAGAAATTGAAACAGTGGAAGAGTATTGCCACTCCCATGGTCAAAGACCCAAGGGAGGAAAGATGTTACCAGAACTCAGTGAGAATTGGAAAAATGGAGGAGCAAATTCTAGAAGGAAGAAGTCCATGGCTCCTTTGCCCTAGATGGAGGGGTCATCTAGAGGGAAGCTACAGTCATGGAGGGACAGAGCTTCTACCAGAACATCTCCATGGAATTAAGAAAAGACTGAGGAATCATTGCACCTTCTATTATCTCCTCCCACCCTCCTGTCTGCCACCAATGCCAACCCTTGGTTAAACCAAAATAGAAGCCAAGATAGTAAGGAGGTATGGAGAAGCAGCTGAAAGAAGTAGCTTTCTGGGGAAGAGGACAGGTCAGGAAGGTATACCAACAGACATGAGACGACAATAAATTGAGTATTACCAAAATTCTAGGCTTTCTGTGCTTATGTTCTATCTTGGAACACTCAGTTGGAAGAGTCTGATAACTTAGTCACAAATGTTCTATTCCCCCGTTTTTCCCTGAAAAATTTTCATTTGTCCTACAATTCTCCTCTCTGACAACCGTGCCTCTGAAAAAATCTTTTTTATCTAATTACTCCCAGTTTGGTAAGTTTTCTGTTGTTTGTCCATAGCACTACTATTTACTATTTTTTCTTTTTAATATATTTATTTAACTTTAGGTGCATACTATATCTGGCATTTCTCCCTATGTTATCTTTCCCCACCCCCCTCCCTCCCCACCTCCCTACCCACCTCCTGATGTCTCTCCCCTACCCACCTCCAACTGCCCCCAGTGTGTGTTGCTCCTCTCCTTAAGTCCACGTGTTCTCATTGTTCAACACCCACCTATGAGTGAGAACATATGGTGTTTGGCTTTCTGTTCTTGAGTCAGTTTGCTGAGAATGATGGTTTCCAGATTCATCCAAGTCCCTACAAAGGACATGAACTCATCATTTTTTATGGCTGCATAGTATTCCATGGTGTGTATGTACCACATTTTCTTTGTCCAGTCTATCATTGATGGGCATTTGGGTTGGTTCCATGTCTTTGCTATTGTACACAGGGCTGCGATGAACATACATGTGCATGTTTCTTTATAGTAGAATGATTTATAGTTCTTTGGGTATATGCCCAGTAATGGTATTGCTGGGTCAAATGGAATTTCTATTTCTAGATCCTTGAGGAATCGCCACACTGTCTTCCACAGTGGTTGAACTAATTTACACTCCCACCAACTGTGTAAGAGTGTTCCTATTTCTCCACATCCTCTCAAGAATCTGTTGTCTCCAGATTTTTTAGTGATCGCCATTTTAACTGACGTGAGATGATATCTCAGTGTGGTTTTGATTTGCATTTCTCTAATGACCAGTGATGATGAGCATTTTTTCATATGTTTGTTGCCTCATATATGTCTTCTTTTGACAAGTGTCTGTTCATATCCTTCACCCACTTTTGAATGGGTTTGTTTGTTTTTTTCCTGTGTATCTGTTTTAGTTCTTTGTAGATTCTGGTTATTAGCCCTTTGTCAGATGGATAGATTGCAAAAATTTTTTCCCATTCTGTTGGTTGCCGATTCGCTCTAATGATGGTTCCTTTTGCTGCACAGAAGCTCTGAATTTTAATTAGATCCCATTTATCTGTCTTGGCTTTTATTGCCATTGCTTTTGGTGTACTTTATTACAACAATTTGACATTTTAACTTAATTGATTAGTGGCTTTTCATTCTCTTTCTCGTCTCCTCCAGAATAGAAATTGTCTTGTCATTCTGTGTTCCTTAGAACTCCTGTTATTACTGGAAGATGGTAAGTGCCCAGAAAAAAATTTCAAAAATGAATAAAAGGGAGAATGAATGAATATCTTCCCCATGAGAAAAGGAAAGAGTGGGAAAATATATCACAAGCAAACACAGAAAGTAGGAGATGGGAGAATTAAAAAATAAATGATGTTATAAGTAAGAACAATTTAGAAGGCTTAAAGTAAAAAATAAAATGGAATTAGGCTAAAATTTGAGTGGAAAGAGAAAGTCAACAAAACAAAATGAAAATCCAAAAATCTGAATTACACATTTTACAAGGTATGCAATCCAAATAAAACGGAGATCACAAATATTGTCTGTAATTGGTAATTCTAATTTAGAAATGGCTTTTCTTAAGGTGTGAGAAAAGAATTTTAATGGTAATTCATACTTTAGTTCTTTGATTTCAGCAAATTTAGATTATTACATTTTCTCAATCCATGATTAAAATTTAATGGGTGAAGTGAGGTTGGCACCATTTTAAAACTCTGTACCCATATTTTGTTTAGTAGTCAACATTTACATTTAAACTTGGTATTTGTTTATAGTTAATAAAAGAAAAGAACATGTGCTGTTATTGAAGTGCTCTAGTGAATAATTTCCCCTTCTTTCTATAGCTATAACTGATATTTAAAGACTGACCCACTAATCTAAAGTTTAGATAACTCAAGGCAGAGTTTAGAAGTGTTTCTTCACACTTGGGATTATTAAATATGAAAAAACATATGTCTATCCAAATTTGTTGTACTTATTTTGCTAAAATTTTATTTACATAGCATAGCCAAGGCAGTACAACATTTTGCTAATTGGTAATTGTTCATTTAAATAGGCAGTGGTTTCTACACATTTCCACACATAAAGGGAGGGAGGGAAGGAAGGAAGGAAGGAAAGAAGGAAGGAAGGCAGGGAGGGAGGAGGGGAGGATAGAGAGTGAGAGTTTTAAGAGTTTTCATTATTATGTTATGTTAAGGCCAGTAGATCAGGAGATGACTGCCATTGAAAAGACAGTTTGTGGGCCAGGCACAGTGGCTCATGTGGGAGGATTACTTGAGGCCAGGAGTTCAAGACCAGCCAGAGAAACATAGCGAGTCTCCCATCTCTACAAATAAATAAGTGAATTCACTGGGTATGATGCCATGTGCCTATAGTTCTAGCTTCTTGGGAGGTTGAGGCAGTGGGATTATTTAAGCTCAGGAGTTGGAGGCTGCAATGAGCTATATCATACTACTGCATTCCAGCCTGGGTGACAGAGTAAGACCCTATCTCTAAAAAACAACAACAAAAAGATAGTTTGTTATACTTACAGGTGGAGACACAGGGGCTCACAAAGGCCAGCATGAGTTGGGTGAGGTGCAGTCAGGAGGCAAAGAAGGAAAATCTTGAGCCAAGAGCTTTTATTGTGGTTTCCTTGGGAGGGAAATTTCAGCAGGGTCAGGGTCATAGGAGCTGTCTCTAGTTGTCTAGGACCTAGCCCTGGAATGCTAAGGGAAGGTGGATGGTGGCTTAGAGTACAGGGTGTAAACTCGGTATTGGTTTATTTGCATATGAAAGCTGTGCTCACAGGTGAGTTTTTTACTCTCTCTAGTAACTGGCTAATTCCAGAGCGAGCTGACTTTGTCTAGGGTCAGCAGGGCCTCAGATGTCAAAACCTCAAAATAAAGATAGGCATGGTTAATATAAGAAGAAAAGAAAGGATATTTTATGAATGAATACTTGAAGAGCAAAGAAATATTTGATCTTAGAATTCTGATGCAAGACTAACAAAAATGTGTATGTTTTTCATCTATAAACATTTAATGAAAGCATTCTCAGATAAAAATAATAATAAACAATCTTGTATGGGAATATTTTGGCAGGAATGACCTCAAATACCATTATATTTGTAATTTAAAATATATGATCCTGTGAGTCATGAATTTATAGAAAATGATTTGCAAAACTTCAATTAATGACCTTGATTGTTTTTCTGTAAGAAGAGAGGGAGAGGTTATGTGAGTACAAGTAAATTAACCTTTTATTCCATACCCTACCAACTTCTT